TTCAGCCCCGTAGCTTTTGCCGGTCTCGAGATGAAAAATCGGTACAGACGAACACACGGACACACACACATACACAGACAACCTCTCGTCAATATGCGTTTTTTGCATTGCATAACTGCAAAAAACGCATAATAATTCGTGTCGGATTTTCCTAACAGTTGACAAAAAACAAGACTCGCACATGTGTAACGAAAACATCGATGCTCACTGTGTTCAAAAATGCAACGAAAATTAAAAATTCCAGAAATTCGAGTGATCGCCTTAATCAACAAGCATTTGATCTACCGAACAAAAGAAGAGCAATGGCAGCAGGAGAAAAAGGCCAGATTTATTGCAAATTTCAGCAAGTAAAACGAAGGTTACGATAACTTCCAGCATGAAAAGCTAGAAGAAGCAGCACTGCTCAGTCAATCGTCATTCATCCCTGTTGTTTTGTTTCAAGTGGTTATAAATGTTAACAATAAGCACTACAAGACGAAAGTCGACTCTCATGTCGAACTCGAAGCGCAAAACCTGTTCTTCATTCACTAGTTTTATCTCCGTTTATTATCCATCGCACCATCAGCAACGCTCTCTTCGTCATTTCAGTTTTCCGTAAAGCGTTTAGCGTGCTGACAAAAAATTTTTCGAGAGCCTTTCCCAACTTCTGGGCTCGTCAAAAAGTGATACTTGTTTGTGGCTCAACTGGAATTTCCATGGCATAGCGCAGCGCGAAGAAGCAAAAATATTCGAATCCACCAGTAGAAAACTGCCTTTTCTACGGTTCTTTCATCTGTTTCGATGATAAATTGGGTATTAACATATGCCAGGGAATCAACACCACCGACCGTTTGCTTGTAAACACCGGAAGACAGCTGTTTCAGCAGGTAATTGCTGCTGACATTTGTTGCCATTTTACTACTTCTCGAGTGCCTCCACTTCTCACTAACACAAAGGAACAAGTAGCTTTTTGCACTAGGTCGATACCCCTTCTGCGAGAATTTACAACAAAAAATTGTGTTCAGCCGAGTCCGATGTAACTTGACAGATAAAGCGGATTACTGAATGGTACTTACGCAGTACTGAAGAAACAAGAACAGTGCAAATGCGTGAGGGGAAGAAATTACCTAGATGCTCATATGGATTTAAATGACAGGACATAAAACAGGGGAGAATCGAAAAACTGCTAAGTGTACTAATGGTGAGAAGAAAAATGAAAACAACAGCTGAAAAAGCATTAAACTAAAGACATTATTCCATTCAGCATATTTGTTTCAGCATAAAATGTAAAGGGTGCGAATATTTTTCCGTCTTATTGGCGGTGAGAAATTCACTGAAAATGAAAAAATGCAAGAATCTTTCCCAGTTTAACAATGATTCTACGGCCCTTCAGTCTTATTTTTTCTAAATTTGTGCAAGATTGAAATAATTGATTATTACTGATCCGAGCAGAACAGAAAATGATACCTGATAAGAACTGTTCAGCCTGAACTCCGTATCTGGCGACATATTGAGCGGTATTATTCACAATCGGCATAACATCAGGTGGTGGTGGTATGACGGTCGGATTATCATTCTTTGGTGCCTCACCGTAAAAACTCACGTACCATTCATAATAATCACTTTTACTGGGCGGCTCATCCTTTGTTTTTACAGCATCCCTGCAGCAATAATTCAAGATTGTATGGAAAGAAGCCAATCACCTGGCATATTTTTCACCGAGCTGAGTAAAAGGACGTAAACGAAATCTGGTAAGAGGGGGTTTTTTCGATTTTAGGTTCACAGCAGTCATTGTAATTCTGTCAAACGGAACAAAATTAGGTTATAATATTTGTTAGTTATTTTGATTTCAATTGCCACAACAGCAAATTGTAGCGAATATAAAAAATACAATTCAACTTACTCATCTTTTTCTTCAACAGCTTGCACTACCGGCTTCGCTTGTGACACAAATACGTCCGATAGGCTTTTATACAAAGAAGAATAGACGTCATTAGCCTGCAACAGTCCACAGAGTTATATTTTAAATCACAGCTTCTTAGAACAAAAATAAACAGATTTCCCAATTAATTTTATAAATAGCACACAAATGATATTTTCTGTTAAAAAGAAAATTAAAAAAATGTAAAAAAGGAACGAAATCACTGTTCTTTAATTCCTACTTGTAATACTCACTAGAAACCCCCACTGCCTTTTGTAACTACAGCTCCTTTTTAGCCATACATCAACTGTTCCGTGTTCTTGAAAGCGCTAAAACTAAGTTCAATTACCTTTTTCTACAAGACATAATCATTACAAAATTACATGACCAGCATTACTAATGGGTGAACCATGAAATATTGTGACCAGCAAGCAGGGCATGATAAATTTTTTTAAACAAAAACTGGGGGAAAATATGAGAGCTTACGCCAAGTTTGCAGTATTTATTCATTAGCTTACCATTCTTATGCGTTTTTTGCTGTGTAACAGCAGTACAAAACGCATATTGTCAAGGGGGTTGTGTGTGTGTGCGCATGTGTGTGTGTGTGTGTGCGTGTGTGTGTGTGTCCCAGATTTTGTCCCGTACTTTCAGCTCGGAAACCACGAAAGCTAGGCGGCTGAAATTTCAGTAGAGTGTTCCCCCAACGTGTGACCCGAAAATCTAATTTCAGCCTTCCCTTACCCGCAGGTAACACATACGGCTCCGTAAAAGTTTTAGCGGGTAAAATCATTACCTCGATAACCACGGAAATTAAGGAGCTGAAATTTTAAGATGATGCCCTCTACCAACGTACCACAGCGAAAATTAGAACTCAGCCTTCACGCATCCCTGAATGCCACGTACAGCCCAGTGAAAGTTTTGGTAGGAAAATTATTATCTCGTGACTGTAAAAGCTAAAAAGCTGAAATTTTAGCGTGGCAAACCTTGCTCACTTACGACTCCGCAAATTTTCAACGTCTCCGTGGAAGTTTTGGAAGAAAGAATCATTATTTTTGGAGCCAGAATTAGGAGGCTGAAAACTCCAAAGGATGTTTCTTGCCTAAGAAGGAGCTTCACAGACTCGAATTCAGTTCCTAAATATGCCGAAGTGTCACGTATGAACACGTAAAAGTTTTGTCGCAAAAATCACTCAGAAGCCAGGAAATTAGGAGACTGAAAATGCGGAAGGATATTCACCCTTCGAAGTTTCAAATCCCGCTTTCATGTGCCGATGCGTGAAATTTTTAACTACTTTTCAATATTTACTATTTTTGCACAGACCAACGCAGTGAAAATCATCGTTCGGTAGATCGCATTATACTAAACGCATGGTCGCACCGGCTATTTTGGTGCGCGTTGATTTTATTATATTTTTCAATTATTTATGATACCTTTCCCAGTTCGTATTCAATCTTAACCGGCGGGTTTTTTTTCGGAACAGCCTCATGCTCCTCTTTTGTTTTCGGACCAATTACAGGAGAATTACTGCGAGAATCATTTTTGCGCAATCGACCCATGAGCAGTGGATGGAGATAGTCGTCGTTACCATCACCTTCGGAATCGAAATCCGAATCGCTTTCAGAACCAGAATCTGAATATTCACCAAAAACATCATGCAAATACTACATAAAAAACAAAATAATTATTCAGAAGGCATAACTTAACAACAGCTGTCACGAACACCTTGAAATGAACATCAGTATTCAGAAGAAATTTACTTTTTTCAGCAGCACTGTCCAGACTGCGCTGCCCTTCCGAAGATTCCAGATTATTGGATTCCGGACGTCGCTTTGATAGGAACGGTTTTGGGATATACTTCTTTTCTCGGATCAACTTCGAAATGTATTTATAATATGCATTCAAGGGATGGTCGAATTCCAGGAAACCAAACTAAAAATATAAGCCTTCAAATTGTGAAATTGCTTATATTGAAAACTGGAGAACAGCAGCAGTAACTGACCTGATCAAGACCGCCTCGCTGTTTCGCTTTGATAACAATCTCCATTTGAGGGCCTTGACCAACGACAAAAATTGCTGTTTGCTCAATCACGGCATTCTGCTTCATTGTTTCAGGCTAAAAAACTCCGCTTTGAAATGCATCAAAGTTGCCGGTGCGATCATGCATTTTTGTACTAAACTTGAAGTAATCAGGTTGTTGACTGCATGAATGGTTATTGCTTTACATTTACCTTGTGCGTTCACTAACACAAATCCTCGTAAATTTTGCATAAAGGAAATAAACCATTTCCGTTTAATGATGGCTTTTTGAAAATGACCTGTTTGTTCAGTGAACAATTTTTCCGTCAAAACTTTTAAATACCCGTGCGTGAGAACCACATATACATGGAAGCTGAATTTGAAATTTTCAAGTCGTACTTGGACAAGGATTCCCTTAGAATTTAAGTTTTCTAGCTTTTCCGGCTCCGAATTAGTAATTTTCCTGCCAAAATTTTCATATGTCCGTACGTACAATAGCCGGGGTTGAATTCAAAGTTGTGTGTGGACGGGGAATATACGATTAAAATTTGAGCCCTCCAGCTTTCTAGTTGCCGAATTAGCAATTTTCCCACCAAAACTTTTACGCACTTATACGTGAGAATCATGCAAACCTAAGGGCTGAAATTGAAATCTTTAGCTCACACATGCACCTGAAATGTTTTAGCTCTCTATCTTATTTGGCTCCTGAAATCGCTTTTCCGCCAAAAAATCTG